GTAAGCCGAATTCATACCCGTCGAAATACCGAACAGGAAAAGGGCAAGACCAAACAAGTTACAAAACGAATGCACGAAATGCCAATACAAAATAACGTAACTCTTTTAAGCTCAAGAAACGGCAGTTCTGAAACACTTGGTACTTCAGACGCTAAAAAATTGTACTCTACACCAGTTTCTAAAATGATGGGAACAAAACTACAAAGTACGGCGTCAACAATCGTTCTTGAAGACAGCACTGCCAAAATAAAATCAGATGAAACGTTAACAGCAATGAAGTCAGAAGACAGCTCTATGGAGGAGAAAAGCCAGCCTGAATCCAGTAACAGCAGCGTTCCGATCAGTGATGAAGAGCTTTATCGTACTGATCATGACGAAGATTTCGCTCCTGTTGTTGCCATTGCAGGTAAATAGACTATGTAAACAAAACAATAATTTATAATATATTTAGACTGTTTATTTCAGCTGAATTTAAAGTGGTCTATCTACTTGTCTACAATTAAAGCTTCTCTTCATCAAAATTCCACTTAGAAACTAATCCTAAATCGAATTGCAGATGAATGTTTGGAACCTTTTGATGACGGCTTAAAGCGTGCCTGTGATGGCGGAAAGTGGCAACCGCGGTATTTTTATGACAGATACGACCGAGAATGTAAACTGTTTTGGTATGATGGATGTCCAAGTACAAGCAGAAATAACTTTGATGATCCTGCATCTTGTAAATGGAAATGTGAAGGAAAGCACTCAAATCCTCGTTCCAGTAAGAAAACTGTCCAGAAGAATATTGCTTAAGTTTTTTGTAAAACTTGAACTTTACTGACATTTCTTCTTAATGTCTAACAGATCTGGTGATGATTGTTCAGGGTCTTGTATGGATGTCTTTGACACAGCATATTTGAAAAAATGTTGGTCTGGTCCGTATGAAAAAAGATATTTCTTTAACCACGAAAAAAAGCAATGTGAATTATTTTATTACGGTGGTTGTATGTCTACTTCCAAAAACATCTTTCTTTCTTATGATGAATGCGAAGATCTTTGCGAGACACCCAGCTATGAATTATTTAGTCAGTTTTTTTTGTACTTATTATCATCAGAACAAAAGCACTCAAATTTATAATAAGTATTTATAAATGCATAAAATTTGATAGCACAAAAATAAATGAGTTTTCTTTAGACTAATTTGAATATACTAAGCTATCATAGCATTTGCTTTATTTTTTTTCCAGGAGCATGTTATCAACCTTTTGATTTTAAATATGAAGAGTCTTGTTCTTCTGATGGTAGTTATAAAATTCAATATTACTATGATCAGAATGCAAAGCAGTGCAGGATGTTTTGGTTCGGCAACTGCAAAAGAGACTCAGAAAACATTTTTCCAACACTGGCAACTTGTCAGTGGATATGCGAACGGCGAATACTAAACGATATACCCAGTACTCTTTGTGCCTAAATTTCAGTAACAGTTTTAATTTGCTGCATTAGTGCCTACTAAATTTGAAAATGAGCCGGATATTCTACTTAATGCTTGAATAGTTTCTTACGATTGCAGAAAAGTGCATCGATAAATTTGATCGGCATTATGCTGACTCATGTGGCCAAAGTGTCTGGAAAGAAAAATGGTATTTTGATCATGCATTAGGTCTTTGTACCCCATTCTGGCACGATGGTTGTACGTCAGATTCACAAAATATCTTTGACGACTTAGAAACATGTCTGTGGCTTTGCGAAAAACCAGGTGAACTCAGTTTTACAAGACCCATTTATAAGTGTCATCCTTAGAAAGCTGTTGATTGTATCCTGCATAGATGCAGCCAGTTTACTTCTTTCGACTCATTTTTATACAGCTTTAAATAATGAAACACTTGGTTCTTTAAACAATTGTCAACGTCGGCTTGAGAAGAACGTTTATTACCAGCATGAAACACTCTGAACTTTTATATAAAAGTTAATGAAAAACAGCGGTTAGTACATGCTTTAAAAAAAATTATTTTGAGAGGTTCTTGTGACAGATTGACGTAGTTTACAAAACCGATTCAAGTTTACAAAACCCATTATCTGCATTAAAAAAATTTTTTTAAAACTGTCTGAATTGTAAATGTTGTTTATGTAGTTTGTATTTCTACGTATCTAATAAGTGTATTAACGTAATAACAATAGCAGTTTTAGACCTAAATGTCGTAGCAGAAGGAACACCAGACGACAAATACAAATGTGTGGAAGATAAAAGCGTCGGAGATTGCGATGAAAAGTGAAAAACTTGTTAAATTTTCAAATTAATTGAATATAGCAGAGAAAAAAAAGATAATTAGACTTAAAATCACACTTTCTTTTCTGCTTATACGGTGTATCATTTTTTTGCAGTATGAAATATCTGCAAAGTATTTTCGTCGTTCTTCACACTTTTATTTCTCAAAGTAACACTCATAATGACTTGAAAGCCAGTTGTCTAATTCTTTTTTCTCTATGCAATGATCTATCTGTAAAAATGTTGAGAAATGCAACAAAAATAATTTTTATTCTGTTAATTCTGAACTTTTGCAGATATCCGGCATTCTTTTACAATAAAGATACCCAACGATGTGAACCGTTTGCATATTCTGGTTGTGGTGGTAACAACAATCGATTTTTGACAGTCCAACAGTGTGAATCTACGTGTGGAAATTTCAAGTACCTTTCCGGTATGTTTCTATTGTCCTCAGTAAAACCGCCTTTCTTGTTCTTCCATGTCTTTTAATAACATCTGCTGAACTGTGAAGCAATATTTAAAGCAATATTTACTGGTTATTTCTTCTATAAAAATACTTTTATTTTGTTTTCTAGAACCTGAATTTGGCTGTCATCTGCCGTTAGCAACAGGACACGGGAAAAATGAGAGAGGGTGTCAGCAATTTGCTGGTTTCCGATATTACTATAACAAACATTACGGTATGTTCACAGAGAACTATCACAGTTTTGGACTTTTTCTCGAAGTATCTGAACTGCTTATGCTATTTATGAGATTTTTAAAAGCTCCGAATGTTTGCTATGCTCTTTTAAATTTTTAACCAAAGAAAAATTAGAACGTTGCGGCAAGTTTTGGTATTTTGGTTGTGGTGGTAATAGCAACCGTTTCTCGTCGTACTCACTTTGTGAACGAATCTGTCAACGAACTATAACAGTCCTAACTGAAACAAAACAGAAAGAACCTTCTGGTAAAATTTTCATATATGCTTGACTTTTTTTTTATTGATAAAGGTAACTAACATTTTAGCAAATATTTTCTTTTCTTATCAGTACATAAAGTATTCATCTAGAAGAAATTTTTTTTTCAAAAACTCTTATGAAAAAGTTTTTTTGAAGGTTTTTTTGTATAAACAGGTTAATGTCAAGTCTTTAAAAGTATTTCGTTTTTTTTTTTTCTTTTTGCTTTGTTAGATTTCTACCTACAGCTATAAAGAGTTCTTTTCTTGACAAAGAAAAAAATTTTAGTATGTTTCCTGCCAACAGATTTTGGGATGTGCCTAGAGGGCGTAAGCAATGGCAGTGTAAGGTGGAGTTATGATAGTGTTTCAAAGCACTGTCGGTCCTTCAATTACAGTGGATGTGGTGGTAACGAAAATCGTTTCGCTACGGAGCAGGGATGCAACAAACTCTGCAGAGGACTTATTAAACCGCTGTCTAGTAAGCTAACATTTCAGCTTTCGTTATTGTTTTGACACTATTAAGTATAACTAACTAGTATTTTTATACAGCATTTTGAATATTGTTGCTTTTAATGAACCAATTCGATTAACAGACCAATGTGCTCATTATCCGGACTGGGGTCCCTGCAATCAGCTAAGGTATATGTGGTTTTATAACATGTCAAGCGGAGCGTGTGAAGAGTTTTTGTATGGCGGATGCGATGGAAATCCGAACAGATTTTCTACTTTTAAAGACTGCCAAAGAAAATGCGAGATTTCATTAAATGGTAAGCTTTTATTGCTCAGAAGAATTTCATGGTTACAACTAGAAAAGTGTTGCATTATTATTACAAAAACATTCAGCACGAAATGTTACTCTGCCGGCAACGACTGACGTTTGTTTGGAACCGATGGATAGAGGAAGAGGATGCCCAAATACTTTGCACTTAGAAACTAGATGGTATTATGACGTAGCCACTAACTCTTGTATAGGATATCATTCTGAAGGCTGTGGAACAAGTGGCAATGATTTCAAAAGTGAAAGGCAATGTAAAGAGAAGTTAGTGAAAATTTTGAAAATTTCACTGGTGCTGCTCGACTGGATACGCCGTTGAGATGTTTACCTGTTATAGTTGTCAAAGAAATTATGTTTTTAGTAAACTGTTTTAGCTAAGTCATCTGGACTGAAAAGAAATTTATGCTTACTTTTTTTTGGAATTGAAACTAGCCAAGTTTCATAATTCTTACTACTACAGCATCAGTCATCGGTCACAATTACTGTTGAGTCATTGCTCTGATAATTCACTCTTGAATAAACTTAATTTTTTTTCAATTACTTGTTTAAAATTTTTAGATGTGTGATAAAGAAAAGCAAAAAAAACTATTACGAACGTCTTGACACAGAAAAAGATTTTTCCAATTTTGGGAACTCCTCAGAAGTGAAATGTAAGATTTTATTAAAACTCAAAAAATCGCGTCGTTTTCTAAACCAGCTTCTTCTTGTACTATAACTTTCTTTAATAGATAATACTTTTTAGACGCAAATAAAGGGTCACCTGAACAAACCCCGATGAAAATGCATCAGGTTTTAGTCGGCGATAAAAAGTCATATTTTAAAACAAAGAGTCAATGGGTACATTATGGCCAGTGTTTGGGCTACAGGTGAAACAAAAATTTATTTTTTACGAGTAGTAACAAAAAATTTATACCGCTTTTGAAAAACCAACAAGCTTAATTCTTTTCCTTGCTCTTCCGCTGTCACTGTGGGCTATTTAATTAACAGCTACCATTTAGATATAACATATCCGGGAAGTTAACAAAACTAAACGTTTATTTATGTGTAATGGAAAAAGGCGGCTCTTGCCAGATGCAGGTTAGTCAATGATAAACTGTTTTCAGCAAAAGCCTGCTAAAAACTGACTGTTTAAATAACCTAAAATTTATTTTCTTGCTTACTATTATGCGTTAAGAATTTTTTCACGAATTTCAGCCGTTTAGTTTAATTGATAACTGTTTGAAGTGTTAAACAGGTAAAAGCATACACAAATAAAGAGGAGAAATGTGAGGTGTTACGGCCGTGGCTGAAAGGTCTTCATCTTTATTCGTCATTTTTCACTGTTCAACGGAAACCGTTAACTGCTACAAGTGGTCATCATCGAGTACAATATCCTAACGAAACTATTGCTTCCTTGATTGTTTTTCCGCTAAACGATTGTCGAAGAATTTGTTGACAAAGAATTTTTGTGCATCTCATAATCATTAAAATCTCTTATCCTACAAATGCTATTTTTTATCTAATAACTGTGATAGATGCATGCTCATGCATTGTCTCCGCTTATTTGCCGTTGATACAGTGAAGCTTCAGTTATGGCTAAATCAACTACGATTTCGGTGAACTTGACGATGGAGTGACGGCGAACGTTTCGCTCAATTTAATAAACTGTTCAATGAACTTGGGAAAACATTTGGTTTCTTGTCTTTTTCGATATAAAATTGATAGAATAAAACCAAAGAATGAAGCCAAGTACACTTTTATTTTACATTCCACAAACAATTTTGTTTTTAACTATATGGTTTGTTGCTTCGTCTACTTCCACATTTTTTTTTTCGGCTTTTTTTCTTCTCTGTTGTTCTTGTAGTCGCAATTTTCAGCTTTGATAGTTAAAAACGGTTTAGTTTTTTTTTTTGTTTTTTAATGTGTTATACAGTTTTTGAGTGTTAAGCGTTAATGCAGAAACAGTTTTAGTTTATTATATAAAATTCAAAAGAATTTTTGGTATCAAACTTAATCTGAACACAAAAAATTTAATTAATTTTTTTTTTTGGAGGACGGGTCGGAGGTCAGGAAGAAGTTATCTTAACGATTACAGTGCTAAAGCTTTTCAAAAAAAAATTTTATAGAATTAAAACAAATCTGTGAAGGTTCATGCGTAAACTAATACTGTTTAAAGATTATGTATCCAGCTGCAGATAGAAATAAATAGCTTATTCTTTTTGTTTGTAAATTCTTATAGCATGCTTTGAGTTTATTTGCTTTATTAAATTTCAAACTTCTTATTTTACAGTGATCATTTTGGAAAATTAATCAAGATTTTCAAAAAAAAGTAAAAACTTCAAACTAAACATTTTTTTTAGAACTTTCAGACTGTTGTTTATCTCAGAAGTGGTCTTCCACTTGTACAGCAAAATATTTTGGTAACATCTGATAATGAACTTAATGTAATCAGTTTCCCGGCAAGGATTTTGTCACCGCACAAATGGTAGCTAAAGTTATGCCGAAATAATGGGATATTGTAGTGTTATCGCAGAATATGATCTTCAGATTCTATGACCTAAAAAAATGTCATAAATATTTTGTTAGCAGAATTGCTTCAGTTTCAAATATAGCTTCCAGAAAAACAATTTTTAGCAAAAAAAATAAAGTGCTGAAAAAAATTTGCAAATTAGTTCTTTTCATATTTTCACTAAATTATCATCTTTAATTGAAATATAACTTTGAAGCTGTTTTTGGTTGTTTTTGTTCTTAAAATAATACAACCAATACACGTTACAAAGACTTTTTATTGGTAACTTCTTTATCACTGCGACTGTGAAGATTTACAACGTTAAGACCGTAAAAGGAAAAGGAACTTGAATACAACAATGATTATGTGGTTATTTAAAAGGCAGTTTAAAAGACGGTCAAAAAACGGCATTCAAAACTGAACAATAACTTAAACAAACAGAATAATTTTAAATTTTTATTAGTCAAACTAATATTACTAAAGAAACAGAATCTAAAAATGTTTGGCTAAACATTATTATAATTGTGATTTAGAAGTAATATAGTTAATCGTATAATACTTTTAATAAAAAAAGCACAGGAAAAAAATGAAGTAAATAGTGACTGAGATCAGTTTCTTATTAAGGTATATATTTATTCTAGCATCAAAAAAAAAAATTGATTTTTTTTTTGGTTTTGTCGATTACTCACACGTTTTTCATAACCAAAATTTTGTATAATATAGTACACTGTTATAAGAGTTCACTAATAAATATCTCTTTTTTTTCTGCATTTACTCTCTCTAATATTTGTATTAAAAATATAAGAAACTCAGCGTCAAACTGCCTAAAATTTTCAAAACAAAACTGGAAGAGAGAATCAGAAAAATTGGAATAAAACAGTCTTAGCAATAGCAACAATTTGTAAAGCTACTTTAAAAAAGTGCATTATTGTTGCTGGTATTCTCGAAAAAAATTTTTTTGAACACTTATCAAAGCAATGGGTATAGGATTTGATATCTAGATGTAAAGCATAAGTATAAGAAAATTTCTTCTATTATGCTAATAAATATTGTAAAATTTTAGTTTAACTTTTTTTCTTTCTTTTTTTTCTTTTGTTTTATAACTGGCCCTTATGTAGTTTCGGTAATTTATGCAAACAAAAAAGTACTGCTGTTACGGATGAGTACAAAAACTTTAAGCAAACATCTGTTAATCGTTTCTTTTTTTTTCAGTTTATTTTTCTGAAGTTTCTTAACCAAGCAGGAAGTTCAGAATATTGGGTAATATTTTTGAGTGCATTAGTTCCATAAGAATCGTAATATACAGTTTTTCATAGTATTTAGGAAGAAAAACAAAATTTTTTTGTTTAGCAAGAATTCTAAAAAGAATTATTGTATTTGTTTGTTCTTAGGGTGAATCAAAGTTACCTTCAGTACAATAAAAGAATCTAAATTTTCAGTTACCATTGTTGCTATTCACACTGTTCTTAGGCTTCAAGTTTGAACAACGAGCTTAACGATGACTTCAGTGAAAATTTGCTTTATTTTAATTATTATTGCCGATAGTTGCTGTGTAAGTTTTTTTTCCTTTTTTTGTCAATTCTTAGACAATAAAATTCTCATCTTATAAACATTCACTTATCACTGTTTCACTGATCAATTGTTCAATTATTGCTTAAAAAAATTTTTATACTTTTAATTTAGTAGCAAATGAAGCTTTAAAAACCTAAACTTTTACTTCGCAAAAACCAGTGATTTTCACTTTAAAAAAAAGAGTCGCTAATTTCAATTCTGATTCCACTTCTTCGAACCTATTTCATTAATAATTACAGTCGTGACAATGATATTGGCAACAGTTATTACTACTTTTAAAAATGTTACCAAAAAAAATTTTACTATTTTTTCAAACTGTTTAAACCAAAAACTAAAATTTACTGTAGTTGCCATTTTTTGAAGTTCAGCAATTCTGAGCTCATTAAATACTGCTGACTTGTTTACTTTACAATAGAAAAAAATTAGTTCTTGAAAGCAATGACTTCTATTTTTGACGTTACTGGTGAACTTTGTTTCTAATCGTTAATGATTAATCAACTATTTAGTGAAATCATCTAACAACTAAGTTAAATTGTTTTTATTGATAATACAAAAAGTAGATGTAAAATTTTGTAATATAAGTAAGTTTTTGATATGCTTAAACATTTCTAAAACTATTTGAGAGAAAACTTTTATTCTGAAACTTAAACATCAGCCTTGAGCTGTTTGAAAAAAGGTTAACAAAACATCGTTTTATACGTCCAATGTTATTCATAACCGTCTTTACCTGCATCTTCTTCTATACAAAAAAAAAAATGTTTATAAAATTATAATTTTTTTTAGAAACAAAGACACGAGGTGATCAATAATTTTTCAGCGATGTTTCTCTCCAATTTTTTTAAAACTATTACGTGCTGCTTTTTAAGCTGGACTTTTTGCTCTCAATTTAGAAAAAAACCGGTTTTTACTGCTTAAAGAGTTATTAAAACACTAAAAAGAAAAAATAAACTGAGCACATGAAAAGAGACGATTGAAAGCGTAAATCTGGATATAAAGAAGTTGACCCAAGTTGTTACACTTTGTTTTAGTTTGCATAGTTCACGAACAATCTTAAGAACGTTTAAACATAGAACTAGAATATTTGTTCTGTCTAAAAACATAGGCAAAGATTTAAATGTAGAAAAATTAAAGAAAACATCAAAACTGTAATATAAGCATGCTTTCGATATGGTTAAACATATCTAAAACTACATTTAAAAAAAGAGACTCGATTTGCCACTCACTTCTTAATAGAGTTCCAAATATTATCAAAAAAAATTTCTCTTTCTCTTTAACAGCTTACTGCTTTTGTTAAAAAAAAAAAATAAGACTTTTAAAGCTGCACAAGAGAGCTATAAAATCATCATATATATTATCTTTGCGTTTGGTATAGAAAAGTGTTAAATTCAAGAAGATTTTGGTTGATCAAATAACAAAAATTGAATTCCCAGCAGGCAAAACTTTCAATTGGCTTCTGCTGTAATTTTAAAAAAGGGAATAAAACTTTTGAAAGTTATTCTGTCACTCATCGTAAAATATCAGATGGCATTAGTTTTCAAAATTTAAAATTATTTACAAGTATTTGCTGTATAGCACTTAAATATTGATGCTTAAATTCTGATAAAAAAATTTGTGACTCAAGTAACTATGCAAAAATATCGTATTTATTTTCTAAAACTTCAAAATTCCACAAAATTACTGAAACAGAAACGAAATAAAGGAAAATTGGTAGTGCAAAATAATTCCCGTATCGTTCGGTTTTTGAAAAAAACGATCAAAATGATGAAGAAATCAAATTTAATGACTGTTTCCTTTTTAATAAAAATAATTCTGCTTATAAAGGTTTTTTGATAGAAAACAAAACTAACAAAAGCCTCAAACCAAACGAAATTTTTTTGAGACATTTATCACTGACAGATATTTTGCAGGCCAAAGAACTGAGTAAAAGACAAATTGAATGTTCTTGTGACACAAACCAATGTGGATGTGTTCCTGTAGTTGCCTCCCTATACGTCTTCTGTTCATGCTCGTGCCCATGCATTATTCCGCCATCGAGGTGTCGCGCCCAATGTTACGACGTCTGTCAGAATCAATGCACCGCTGGCCGGTGCTTGCCGGTTTGCTGGAATGAGTGTCAGAATGCATGCGCGAAATGAACAGCAATGGTAGCAGAAAATGATCATTTTCTACTCCACCATATCAGTAGACCGTTGGAAAACAGTTATTTCAACCAAATTTCTTGCAGTAACCTAAAGCTTTACGCTGTTTTAGCACTTTTTTTCTTACCTTTGTTAAACAGTACACGGAAGATCTACAAGTGAATTTACAGTATTGCTAGACTTTATGTTGAAACATTGTGATAAAAATACCCAATAATAAGTTGTGCTACACACCTGCAATAGCTATCAACTGCCAACATTTCCCATTTTTGATAACTGAACGAATTTACTTACCAGTTCAAGATTTTCTTTAACTAAAACCAAAATAAAGCTAGTAACTTTGTAACAGAACAAGTTTAGATCAGAAAAATTAAGATTAAAAAAACAAAGCAACATTACCAAATTGTTAGGAAGAAGCTAAGAAAACCATATGAGAAGAAGACGTTTGATTAAGAAAAAAAAGTCTAGTCATGAACATAATGTAGAGTTTTTATCCAAAAAAAAGTTTTGAAGGAAAAAACGATAAATCAATAAGAACAAAAAAAAGCCGATAATAAATTAACGAATAACTGAGAGACAGTAGATGATGTTAAACTTTGGCAGTAACATGGTATAAGTTACAGTGGAGAGTGATGCTTAACTGGTTGTTCCATCGATGCAAAACTTTGTTACAACTTTTTAGAATCAGCTTGAATACACAAGCCACAAAGACAAAGTTCAATTCGAAAGTGGATGAAAGAAGTTTCACTTCTCAATGTCATTCAACGTTTTACAAAAAAAAAGAAAGAGAAGAGAAAAAACTTCTTGTACTTAAACTTGAATCTCAGTTTACTAAAGTTTAACAATTTCGGTTATATATAAGAAAATTGCGACTCTAAATCATCAAACATTTCTGCAACAACGATGCTCTACGGTCGCTGCTCCATTACCGCACTTTCCTTTCTGCTTCTAATCAGCTATGCTATAGCCGCTGACCCCGAAAGTGTGAGTCGCTTTATTTAAAATCTTTCTAAACTGAAGATCTGTTTCAACAACCATACTTTTTCTACCAATTTTCGACGACCATTATAATCCTAGATGACTTAGAAAACCCAAACCCAAAATAAAAAAACGCTTAAATACCTAATTCAACACGATTTGCAGAATTTTTTAATATCACCTTCAAAAGCTTATTTCGTAGCAGTACCTATAAAAGTCTTATTTTAAGGTGTCATTAACTCGAGAAAAGAGGTGTATCTGTCAGCAGTACTCCTGCGGATGTGTACCTATAGTGATGACCCTACAGATGTCCTGTTCATGCCCAATTATAAACGTATCATGCCCCTGTACCGCAGTTCCAGTGATTCCACAGACAAGCCAATGTCAGTCTCAATGTAATGACGTTTGTCAGCAACAATGCGTATCAGGACAGTGTCTTCCAGTTTGCTGGAGTGCATGCAATAATGCTTGTTAAAATTTCTGAGGTTAATAGACGTGGTACCATGGATTTTCTGTAATTATATTGCGCTACATATATCAAAAAATAAAATTTTTTACACAAGTTATTTGCTGTTATTAGCTGTTAACAGTTCTCCTCATTATCTGACTGAAACACGACACGCTTAGGTCAAAAATTTGAGTACCATTTAAAACTGCAAAAGAAGACCTTCTGTTACAAAATTACTTCAAAATAAATATATGTTCAACCTACAGAGCGAATAACAACCTATTATTACTTAGTCAAAAAAATCGATAATTGAGAGGTAGCTGCAGGTGAGACAAAAATAAAAAAGATAATAAACAAGGTGAGATTTGCCAAATTATAATTTGTAACTGATTTTCTGCGGTTTTGTGAAGTGTTCTGTTGTCACTGTTAAACAAAGCGAAATCTACATGAAACGATGTTTGACTCACTCCTTTCACATCGCTGCTGTCACTTTCACTTGTAAACAGCATAGATCTTGCAGACCTCTGCTAAGGAAAGATGAAGGTATCCTTATGGCGAGAATTTCTTAGTAGCTTCCTAAAATTAAATTTTAGTCCCGGTTAGTATGAGCTTTGTTGCGACAAAAATTCTTTTCCAAAAACGGCTTTAAAAAAATATATTTTTTATGAAAGATATACGCCTTTTCAACGTTTTTGACAAAAACTTTCTGAAAGTGTTTTTTGCCAACACTGTACAAATAATTTCTTAAAAACAATTTTTGGCTTCCATATTTATATTGTTGTTATGAAATCCTTCCCTAAAAGAGATTTTACAGATAATTGCTGTTACCTTCAAAAATATGTATTTTCTCGTTAGTGCCTGAAATCAGTGGTTCCCGATGTAGTTGACAAAACTTTTTTGTTTGGAAGAAAAACAGTTGATCTGACGTAAGCACTGGGGTATTCCCGGTCAATGTAAATTTCCTAGCTACATTATGAGTAACTATGCAAATAAGAAAACTGATGACTGCTAATAAAACGACGTCTTATTAAAATATTTTCTTGTATTAAAAGCAACCTGGTAAACATAAAGATTTGCTTTGCTTAATTTTGCTTTCGTCTACCTCTGACAACGCTTTTATCTGACGATTACGGCATTTAATGAGTAAATGTCGTAATTAATAGACCGCAAATTTGAAGTTTTGCTGTTGGAACTATGTGACATGTAGCAATACGAACACTTAAACTGTACATCTGAGACACGAATGCTAGTGTATTTTGGCAGTGTGATACAACCAGTTTACTACTTTCAAAAAAATGTTTTGAGAAGAGTTAAGAGTTTGCTTGATCTTCTTTCCTCTGCTTCACTTGCGGCGGTATGACTTTTTTTTGACAGAAGAATGGTACAGCCAAACTGAAAAAGACTAAGACGCGATGACTCATCGCATCCATCAACTCAACCCTCCTCGAGAAAACAAGTTCTATCACAGATGATTCATAAAACAACTTATCACCTCAGCTCAGCAGATGTCAAAAAACTATTATATTTCCCTAGTTCATCACACTTTAATCGTCATGTAACCATACCTATTCGTTAAGAATTAAAACTTTTAAAATACCACGAGCCAAAATTTGATTTTCGTTTCTACCAAAGCTTCTATGCATCTACAGAAATAAGTGAGCTTTGTCCACAGGAAGGTGCGTTTTATTCTTGCTGTCATAAGATCTATGAAACAAAAAACTGTCTTTGCTAAGTTAGTAGACTAAAACTTAACAAAATTGATGATGCTTCTGAACTGCGGAGGAAAAAAACAGCAAACAAATTTGACACCTTGAGAAAGATTTTGAAATAAGGTGCCCGACTTCTCATTGCCAGAGAATATACTGATGACCAAACTTAGCCAACTAAAGAAGAAAAACAATCGTGGCACAAAAAAACGTGACTCATTTTGTAAATTGATAGCCTCTTTGTCAAATCCGCGATTTTAACTTTACGTTTTAAGCACTGGCTCAAGACTTCAGCAACCTCTAAAACCCTTCAACAACGCACCTTTATAAGAATCAGAACCACGCTAAGCCTGCAGACCTCCTCATCCCAAGAGACGGAAGAAAACCACCACACTAATCTGTGAGCCGTTATCCAAAAACCAGGCTCTCTAAATGTCAAAACTTGTACGGTAACCCCAACTACCGACACCATCAAGAATAGTTTCACCCAAGAACTCTGACTTTCAAGAAGCGCTACACTCCCCTTCAGCACCACAAACTACCACCCCCACCCTAGTGGTCACCATCCCAAACAAATAACGATCATCTCCCACCAAAAAAAACCCATGAACGAGAAAGTTATGCGCCCCAACGACGAATATAAAGGAAAGCAAAACGAACTTGACCTAGCCAGTGTACTTACCAGCTAGAATAAAAGAAAAATCTACACTTACAATTTAATGAATAAACAAACCATCCAGCTGAAAGAAAGGTAAACTATAGTAAAGTAAATTTTAAGTTAAAAAAGCATTCGCAGACCAAATCGGCAAAAAATTATGTTATGCAAGTGATTCAATCTCTGTTAAGCCATATGAGTTCATTTATGCAATACTAAAACTGCGATACAAAAATTGACACGTCTTAAGTAACACAAGAAGGACCAACGAAATACAGTTTTAAAGAAGACCCAACACCAAGACATCTCTTCTGTTAAACACTGACAAAATGTGATCACGTTAGTTTAGCAAAGAAACTGACTCAAATTAAATTTACTTTAAAAACAATCACTAAATGTTGTCCAGCTCGACAACGAAAAAGAGAAAAAAAGTAAAAGATATAGTAATGCACAAACGATACACGACACAAGAAAAAATAAAAGCTAAATGAAACCACCTACAACTTAAACGGTGTATGTCATGTTCAATAAAATATCAAAAAATGATTCACCACTACTTCTCAAACAACACAAAATTTCGCAGAACAGATAAATGCAAGAGACGAAATTAAGATCAGATTTTATAAAACTAATGAAAGACCACCAACGAAGAAAGTAAAAATGTATATCACACTTCTTTCACAACTACTGTTACTAAAATCTGAAAATTTTACCACTGAATTAATTTCCGACTAAATAAACAACGTTCATTACACATAAGTTCTAAATCACCAAACAAAGACAAGAACTGTGAACAGTTTAACAAAATTAAAATACATTTACATATCTTCGTCAATACTGCGACTGCGCGACTGAGCTTTGTAACTGTGCTTGTGCGAAGGAGTTCACGCCAAACTGCGCCTGAGAGCTGGGTACGGTATAACCGTTGGATCCGTCGTACGGCTAAAACATAGTGAGCTTGCTAAATCAAAACTGCGTTTTTCCTAAAGCAAAAACTTCTTGAATTTCCACCTACAACCGAATGACTGAATTTCTAGGATTCCTTTACGATAAAAAATTAGAAAAGAAGAAGACAAAAAATATATTTAAAAAACTACAGAAGAATCTGCGAAGTCATCCAAAGTTTTATAAAATTCAGTTACAAAGTTGTCAGGTACCGCCTGAGGCATTGAAGCGGCCGAGGCTATTATCCGCGAATTTTGCTTCATTTGATTTTCAATCATTGCTGCCTCTTCCAGCATTCCCATACTTTTATAGTACTCAATCCACTGAGCGGTGTAATCAGGTTGACCTGAAACTAGTGCTAATAATCGTAAGAGTAGATTCACTGAAAAATACAAAAAAAAAACTAGCTGAAGAAGCAGTAAGCCATTAAAAGTCACATACCAAAAACTCACTATTATGCAACATTATAATTTCCTAACAAAAGCAGTTAGAAAGAAACTGGAGCCATTATAAACGCACCTGTTTGTGGGTTTACTGATGGAGGTATGTTCTGAACCTGCTGCGTTTGTAGTCCTGCTGGTTGAAAGTATGAATCATACGCTCCTTGAGGATAAGTATAGTGTTGCGTGTAATACTGCTGCCACGGCGTTTGGCCCGCATCGACTTGAGGAAGAGCTTAATTACGATAGTTTACCACAAGAATTCAGTATGCATATATACATTTCAAACCCTAAGAAGAAACCTATGTTGTTATTCCATTGATTCGGTACTTGCTTTGGTGTTTTTCCGTCCTCAAAGATGCCTGAATCCATACCATAACCTGGAGGCCCTACTGCAATTGGATCTAAAGAATAGTTGTACGAGTTGGAAAGATAATCAGACTCCAGCTGACCGCAAAACTGGTGAAGTGGAGTTCCTTGCGGTATTTGGCCAGTCTAAAAAAAACAGACTGACAAATAGCTCTGATCATTATAAGCGTAAAATCTTTTAAAGTTGATGCATACTTTAATGCGAATAAGATATTGAGCATAACGAATCTGATGAGACGTCCCAGTAATAACAAAAACCTTCTCTAGGCTGTTTGGAGGGGGATCTCTAGAAAGTTCAACATGCGCCCCACTTTCAGCACAGATCTAAAACGTTATTTGTCTACAGAGGAGGCAAAAGTAGGTTAATAAATAATAAAAGGTTGTTCATAAAGTTGTTTTTAAACAACTGATCTGCTAAACTTTTAATATCTCAAGTTTAACAATATATAAATTCATGTCAAGAAATAATAGATACAGGGTCAATTTGTAACCTCCTTGTCAAGTTCAAGAAAACTCTTCTTTAAGTACTAAACCTGCCGTACCAAGCAGTAATGCCAGTCTGCCCAACTAAAACACACAGCACAGAAAGTATATTCTACGTCCAAAATTGCTAACAATTTTTAAAAAGTCCTCCATTTACTCTTCAGTGCAAATGGTTTTATATTTTATAAGACAAATTTAAAAGAAGCACACTCACGGAAACAGATCAAAAAAAAAAAAACTTTTGAGTTGCAGCAAAAGATATTAGATTGAAGTTTAGAAGTAAGAACGACACACGAGAATCTCACCCTGACAAGTCCTTCTTCACTCAGAAATGATATAAAAGCTGTGGTAAAAATTACTAGAAAATTTCTTTCTCCTGCAAGCTTCTTACAAGCCTTCCTGCTTCTCCAATCCTTCAGAATATGAGCAGTTCCCTAAACAAATTTTATATGTGAACAAACCTTTTTGATTGTTTCACCACCTTTCCCAATAATAAGTCCTGTCTTGCTCGACGGCACATGCATATGATACATTTCGGTCCCAATTCCAGTGCTGCTTTTATTAACAAGATCTCTTATTAACATAGTAGCTTTGGAGATTTGAGCGGTTGTTCCCTGAATCATAGCCGAACGGTCCGACGAAGTTTCATCTTCTAAACAGGAAAAAAAAGTAGTCCGGAAAGCACCGCTGAACAAGACTTGCTAAGAGAACCCACAGTATCAGATAAAAAGCAAAAGAAACTTCTAAAATTGGGGGAAAGTACAGCTCAGCAAAATAACGAAAAATTACCATCCGGCTTGAACTGGATTTTTGCACCAGATTCTGCAGCAAGACGCTTAATCGTTTCGCCTCCTTTACCAATGATTATACCTACCGATGAGCGTGGAACAATCACCTGTAACTAGCACTATTTTGGTTCCTTCCAAAAAAAGTACCGATCCAATAAACAGTAAAATAAAGCCAAACCCTGTCATTCACAAATTCGAAATGAACCTAATGATAAATCAGACTTTAATTAAAATTTGTGAATGTATTGCAGCTTGTACTAAGAATTAGTGAGGATTTGAGAATGGTCATAAAAAGTTTTTAAATTACAACTAAAAATAAACAGATAGTCCCTACTTCGCCAACAGATAATTGTCCTTCCATACCAAACCGACTCAGCAAATTGTTTGTATCAGAAAGTTGGTTGGTAAATGGAAAATCGCCACGCGACTCCAGCATATTTTCAATAAACTGATGAGCAAAATCGACCTTACTTGGCTCGCCCGTAATACGAAGGGGCTTTGGTTGGCTGCCCACTTTATTGCTTTCTTGTATCAGCAAAAGTTTCACGCCTAACTTTTGCTGAAAACTGTGGAGTGAAAAAAATTAGGAAGAAATATTAAAGAACTATTTGTCGTCAAACATTTCAAATTAGGAGGAAAAATATAAGTCAGTAACCTGAAGATTTTTTATCGTATCACCATTTTTGCCGATTATCAACCCACATTTAGTAGCAGGAATAAGAATCTCGCAAACATAGCTCAGTCCGTTTGAAGCACCTTTTCCAGAGTTAAACGCTCCAAAATTTGCTGGTGGTTGCTTATCTGCTCGTGCAATAATCTGTAACAAGCCCGTAATGGTCCAAATAATTTTTTCAGAAACATGGACGGAACAGTGCTACCGCTTAAAAGTGAAGAATCATGTACATTTTCAATCAAAGTTTTGGCTTTCAAAATTGCACTGCGCGACCCCTGTAAAGTGCACCGTCTCATACCGTCACTGCCCTCGCCATTAGCTGGAGACATTTGAACTCTGCATTTCGCTTCGGTTTGTATGTAGGTAATCTGGCGTCCTTTGTTTCCAATCACTACAAAAACGATAAAGGAAACTACGGATAATTTTGGTAGACTAATTTCAACAAAAAGGATGCAGTTTGTAAATGGCATTTAGTGAAATAGTAACACCAGTAAGAAATGCCTGATGAATTAGATCAAAACATTTATGTTCCCGTTCATCGACTTCCAAAAACATAAAATGAAGAAATATTGCTATTTCTGTAGCATAAGAGCAGGAATTGTGAAGTGAAGCTACAGTTGCACCTTTCAAATAACAAAAAAGTATGCCTAGAGAAAGAAGAAACACATATTACAGGAAACGAATAAAGAGGAAAGAATATTACGGCCGCAAACCTAAACCAACACACGTGTTAGGTACCTCCATAACTTCTGTACTTTCTTCAGTACTACTTATTTCTTCACTGCAGATATCGTTGCACAAAACTGCATCTTCTGCGTTTTCTTCATTTTTCAAAGTAGCATCAGTGGAATTCGAGCGTTTTGCTGGGAATGCTGAAATGCGCAACAGATAACGAAAAAAGAAGCATTATAAGCAGTTCAGGAAGTGACTAAATAAAAAACGAAACATAGACTTTAAAACTTAAACAATCATCTCTTTTTATCGGTAGCTACAGAATAAATAGCCAACCTAGTGTTTCCATAATCATGTCCTTTACCAAAATATGTCATTTCACAAGCGTTATGAGAACAAAAACCAAAAACAGAACTTATCTTGTTTGAAGCAAGAGGCATTGAAAAAAAATAGTAAAAGGAAAAATAATAATGAGGCAAAAGAAAAACGTCGGATAAAGAAATTAAGAGAAGAGGTTAGTACATTGTATTAAACTGTTACCACTAGTTGCATCAACTGCGCCAGGTCTTTTCTGCGGAGTAAAATGAGCAATCTGGAAAACATTCTGTATAGCAACTGTTCTAAACGATAAGTAGAACAAAAAATATTCCCTATAAAAGTTTGAAAAGTTTTAGTTTAATTTAATGGCATAGTCGAACTTTTTACCAATCAGCTAAAAAAGCTGGGATTTTATTGAGGACCTACTGAGTCATGAAACTGATTCCTATTAGTTTGATAATTATATCATGGACTACAAAGCGAGTTGTTGCATCTACCTGTTTTGCTCGTTCCACTGCATCTTGTAAATCATCGTTACTAATCTGGCCGCTAGAAGTCATTCCTAAAGAGTCCTTAAGTTATTCATACACTTCCCTTTCACTTTTTTTACATGAAAAAAACATTAAGACATCAAGAAAAAATTGTGGGGGAAAATAAACCATTAACTTTTTCAACATCATTATTTCGTTTAACCTACCGCAATAACCAGCTTATACTACACAAGTGCGAAAATACTCCTACAGTTAAATGCTTAAATCTATCATGGTATCATCTTAAAATTACTTAGAACTTCTGACTTTATTGTTCTTTTTTTTTATTGAAAAGAAAAGGACAAATAAAAGCGAAAAAAATTGTTACATTACTTCCAACCTAATCAACTCATCGATTTCAACAGAAAACTTTCAACTATACGGACCTCCGGGCGAACCGTTACAAAACATGACTCCACTTCCAGAAATGATATTTTTTGCTAGCTCCCCACTCCGTTTCAATGGGTAAAACATCTGAGGCCACAATTATGTTAGATTTCTAACTAGCTTAAGACGTAAAAAATATTTGTTTGTGGTATTTTAGGAAGAATATTTAAAAAGAAAAAAGAAGCAAATAATGAGGTAATGATTGACAGAAACAAAAACTGAAAGAATGGAAAACAAAACGCCTACGGTTCCAGATGAACTGTAGCAGACTGATTTGAAGATGGTGTAAGATCAGTATTGACGAGGCTACCGAGGCAACCAGCAGTTTGGTGGGTCATCGCCCACGTTGCTGATGCTGCCTGAGGTTAACGTTTACAGAAACCAACAGCAATAATGTGCCTGATTTTTGACTGCAATAAGTAGTTGTTCACTTCCTCGTTGATTTCTGTAGTTAATTCTGTTTGGG